GGGTCAAATGCAAGAGGATAGTTCAAATGACCTCTTAAACAATGGCCAGTGACAGTTACAGAACTCTAAATGGTGGTTAATCTACTTACAAGCATTTTATATTAAGTTACCCTTAAATGGGAACATACTCATTGAAAATCAAAAGTCCGTCATCATTAGGGCTATTGAAATCCAGTGGGATAGAAAAAAGCAAAATCATCATATAGTTTGGTATATAAAATTATATGAAAATGTGTGGAAAAACAAGTACAAAATGAAGTGGCTAGAAAAACTAGAAAACCATTTTTAAAAGCCAAGGGAAGGCCAGGCTCAGTGGCTCATGTCTGTAATCCCAGCACTTTGGGAGGCCGAGGCGGGCGCACCACGAAGTCAGGAGTTCGAGACCAGCCTGGCCGATATGGTGAAACCCCGTCTCTACTAAAAATACAAACATTAGCCAGGTGCAGTGGCATGCTTTTGTAATCACAGCTACTCGGGAGGCTGAGGCAGGAGAATTGCTTGAACCCGGGAGGCAGAGGTGGCAGTGAGCCAAGATTGCACCACTGCACTCCAGCCTGGGAGACAGAGTGAGACTCCATCACCAAAAAAAAAAAAAAAAGCCAAGGGAGAGACTGTGTGATGCTGTGTGATGACAGTAGTCTCTCTAGCCTCCGGAGGAGCCATTGGCCAGAAATGGAAAGGAAAGGCACTTGGCACAGCTGACTCGAGGGAATATCTTCTCTCAAACTTCTTCTTGCCTCCGGGGAGCTCCCCTACATACTTGTGTTTGAGTATCTTCCTGCACCAACTCTGCCATTTACTGTTTTCCTCATCTGATAATGTGAAAAGAAAGAGGTGTGTCTCAGAACTGTTAGGATGATTTAAAATGAGATCACATGTGATATGTATGGCATAGGATCTTGCCTATTTTATAAGGCTCCTGTAAGCCCAGCCCTGGAAGGGAAGCCTCTCTCCAAATCCACCACGTCCGGGTGGATTATCCATCCCACAAAAGCAACTCAGGTCATCACAGTGACATAGGCCTCAGTTAAGGTTTACATGAAAATACTAAAGGCCACAGGACTGCTGAGTATTTGGAATTCCCCATCTGGATTATTGCCCAAAGGGAGCACACTGTAGCATGGTTTGCGCAGCGGGGGCGCCCAGAGATCTGGGTGCTGGAACAAATTCCCTACCCTCTGAGTATGAAACTTTGGGCAAGAGTCCCTTGTTCAACTCCTCTTACTTGGTTACTGAGGTAATAATCAGTCTCCCTCAACATGTGTCACTATTATCTATCATATGCCTGGCACTATGCCAGGGTACAGGATATGGCCTTCTGCCTTCTAGGAGCATATGGTCTGGTAGAAGTGGAAAGACACAGACCTGAATAACTGACATAAGGCAGAAGAAGGTGAGTGTTGTGATGGAAGCACAGAGTGCTGTGGGTAGCACAGAGGAAGGAATGATTACCGTAAAAAGGAGAATTAGGGACCTGTAATACCTTTGTAGAGTGAAAAGGCTTCTTGTGGACTTTGTGTAAAATGTTGATGTATCAAGGAAGCATTCCACAGGGAGGTGAGTAATGCGAGAACAGGACTGAAGTTTAGACTACACAGGACATGTTTAGGGATGAATGAGTAGTTCTGTGAGTGAGACGGGACGATGCTGGGGTAGAAGGAAGTTGGAACATAAGCTAGTGGGTTCTACAGAGGAAGGGTTTTGATCTGCTGATCAGAAGGTTTGGGCCAAGCCCAGGAAAAGGGGTGGCAGCCCCATACTTTTGTTTATTCATTTGCTTACTTACAACAGACATTTATTCATTATTTACATTGCAACAAGCATTAACCTGGGTGCTAAGGAGAGAAAAAAGAGTAAAACACAGTTTCTTTCTTCAAGGAAATCACAGTCTGTTGGCAGAGATAAGTAGTAATGGTGCCTAATATAGGCAACACTTGCTCCCTGCTCCAAGAACAAAGTTAAGCAAGTGACTAAGTTAAGCAATGCTTAGAGGTAGAGGATGTAAGAATGGCCTTGAAAGATGTGTCCTCTGAGATGATTTTGAAGGATAAATGGAATAGGAGCTTGCCAGATTGAGGTAAGAAGTCTTCCAGACACAGCCCAACAACACAACAAAGCCCAATGCTTGACTGACTGGGGCACACAGGGGACACTGCAAAGTTTGGTTTGGATTCTAGAGTGGAAAAGGGAACTAAAGAGAAAAGATTGGTGAGATGAGTTGGGATAAACCTTGGAGTTTGGGCTTAATCCTGAAGCACTGAGGCAGTATTGAAAATGTTTACACTGGGAAGTTAGGAAAGTAAATAGTAGTAGGATGGAAGGATCAGAGAGGCCCTGGGCAGAAATCATAATGTGGGTGACTCCCAGGTTTCTGGCTTAAGTAACTGGTGCCATTCCCAAAATAAGAGAGTCAGGAGGAGAAGTAAGAGTTCCAGAGGAAGATGATGAGTTCGTTCTTGACTATGTTGAAGGTTATTGCAGGGTACCTGTGATGCTCTTGCAACCCCATTGCCACCTTGAAATCCTTCAGAGGCTCCCTATTCCCTTCAGTCCTGGCCTGCATTGTCTTCTTTCAGCCCTGCCTTCTAATGTGCTTGCTGCAGCCTGAGCAGCTTCAAGTTCCTAGAACTTGCCAGGTTGTGTTCTACATCTTTGAGCTTTCAACTAGAACACCATTTCCCTTCTCCTGCCTTCTGCCTGGCCAGTTGTGGTTCATCCTTCCAGACTCACTCAAGATAATAACATCTCTGAAGGAGGCTTCCCTGACGTTGTCTACCACCACCCCACCAAGGGCTGATACCAACTGTCAACAGCTACATACTCACCCCTACTTGACTAATGATTTGCATCCATGTCACCTCCTCCACTACTGTGACATTCCCTGACCACCCCTCACTGGGCAGGTGGCATCTCTGTATCCCTCTTGCCTGGCCCAGATGGAACTTAGGACATCAGTAAATGTAAAATGAACAAATCTAGATGGGCGCATCCAACAGAGAGTTGGAAATTCAAAAAAAAAAAAAGCAAAATGAAAGGCACCCAAAAAATGCATACAACATTAACACCTTATGTCTACCATTAGCTCCCCCCGCCACCCCGTCCTCTCCTCCGAACACTACATTATCTGAAGGCTAGATGTTCAATCATCCGAGCCCCTGGCTGTTGGCCTGGTTATGTGTGTGGAATGGAACAGAAAGGGAGGAGGAGTGCAGAGGCCCAGGGAGGAGCATCAGTGAAGGTTTGGAGACTGACCTGGAACTCCTAGCCATCATGGGTACAGTTTACATGAGAGGAAGCTTGGCTTACACACCTGTTTCCTCTTTCTAAGCTCTGGCCTGTATTTTCTAACACCATCTGGTGGCCACATCTGTAAATAACAAACTTCTCAGGAGCTGAGAGAGCTTCTGTAAGGCAAAAGGTCCAGGGATTGGCCTCAGAGGGCTATGTATTACAGCCCCCACAAGCTTATATGCATTTGAGATTTGCCTTTTCTGATGAGACACTTCAAGAGCTTTTGACCAGAATCTTAAAAACTCTTACAGCCTCCAAAAGGCTGAGAATCACTGCTACAAAGGATTGATTCTTTTTTTCCCCAAGTGAAATCCTATGAAGAATCATCATATAAAAGCTAAAGAAGCAGACCTAAATCCCTGCTTGCTCAGAACCTCACCCTCCAATTTCCCAAAGCACCTACAGAGATCATAGAATCTAGTTTGAAAACCACTCTTGTGAAGCGAAGGGCTTTTGCAGCGCATCAGGGCCAGATGGGCCCTTAGAAATCATTGTGACGAACTAGGTCACACCTGAGAGAGGAGGCACAGCACATATCGGTAGCAGTACTGGAACCTAACACAAGTCTCCCCTCTTGTTTCTCATCTCTTTTTACTGCTTGCCTTATTGCCCAAAACCTAAATTTAAAAGTGTACTAATCAAAACTTTTTCTATCCTGAATATGGTTCCCAAACAGGAAACCATTCTTCCTATAGATTTCTAGATCTCTGGAAAGAGATCTTTCCCCTCAAAATGCCTCTCAACCAACCATAAATAATTGTAGAAAATAAATCTATAGCTTACGTTTGAATAGTTTGTTATTTGTGTTGGGGGGTGTGTTTTTTTGAGACAGGGTCTCACTCTGTTTACTAGACTGGAATGCAGTGGTGTGATCATAGCTCACTCTAACTTCGAACTGCTGGGTTCAAGCAATCCTCCTGCCTTAGCCCCCTCAGGAGCTAGGACGACAGGTGTGCAGCACCCTGCCCAGCTAGTTTGGTTTTTTGTTTGTTTGTTTGTTCGTTTGGTAGCAATGGAGTCTTATTATGTTCCCATGCTGGTCTTGAACTCCTGGCCTCAAGTGAACCTCCCACCTCAGCCTCCCAAAGTGCAGGGATTACAGGCATGAGCCACTGCACCTGACCCAAATAATTCTTTGTAACTTACAACATCAATACCCATGGGCTAGTTTCACAGTGGCAGAATAGACTCGGAGAGATGAAATGACTTGTTGGCTGTTTCCTGTCATCAACTTAAAGGTTCTTTCCACTGTCTCACAACATTTGTATTTGAATGTGCATATTCTGTGGTACTTAAAACAATGAACAGATAGGCAGTCCAACTGGCTTATTGATACCTGGTCAGGGAGTGGGGGTTATAACCCCCGCTAATAACTGCCATTTGAAGATGGGGGACAGATGAAGTCTAACATTGTTTAAACATTCATGTACTAGAGTCTAATATCTAAACAACCTTCAAAATACGCTTTTAGTCACCGTTTTACAGATGCCTAAACCTATAGTCCTAGCTCCTGAGAAAGTGCTTTGCTTCAAGGTCACACAGCTAGTAATTGGCAAATTGTAGGTAAACCTCAGGTTAGCCTGACTCCTCATCCTGTGTTTTGCCCACATCAATTAACTTCATGGGGCTTTGAACATCCCAGCCTGTCTCCTTGGGGGCAGTCCTTGGCTTGTCTCACCCTCCTGCCCCTTCCCTTCTTTCTCTTTTAGGAGTGCCAGCTTCTCTCAGGGCACCAGAGCCTCTTTTCTCATGAGAAGTGACACGGCTGTACAAAAACTTGCCCAGGGCAATGGACACTGTGTCAACGGGGTCAGTGGTCAAGTCCATGGCTTCTATAGCCTTCCCAAGCCGAGCCGGCACAATACAGAATTCAGAGACAGTACCTACGACCTCCCCCGCAGCCTGGCCTCCCATGGCCACACCAAGGGCAGCCTCACAGGCTCCGAGACAGATAATGAGGATGTGTACACCTTTAAGACACCCAGCAACACCCTGTGCCGGGAGTTTGGGGACCTCCTGGTAGACAATATGGATGTTCCGGCCACCCCACTCTCAGCCTACCAGATCCCTAGGACATTCACTCTGGACAAAAACCATAATGCCATGACAGTGGCCACTCCTGGGGACTCAGCCATAGCTCCCCCACCCCGCCCCCCCAAGCCAAGTCAGGCAGAAACACCTCGATGGGGTAGTCCTCAGCAGAGACCTCCAATCAGTGAAAATAGCAGATCTGTCGCTGCCACCATTCCCAGACGCAACACCCTCCCTGCAATGGACAACAGCCGACTTCACCGAGGTCAGTATAAGCCCTAGCTGAGACTCAGAGGGAGGAGGAGGTAACACAGGGGTTCTCAACAGTTTGGTAGTCCTTGGTCATCTGTGGCCGAGGGGAACTTACGAACCACCTAGGTCACTGATACTCACAAATGTAGGTGTCTTCTACCCAGATCACTTACCAGTTGGGTCCTCCAGCACAGGAGGCTGTTAGCAGTTGTATAACAGAGCTAGTCCCGGAGAAGTTAATATTCTAATGGAGAATAGGACATTCTTGACTAACCACAGTATAACATATTATGGGTTTAGAAGTCCAAATCATTATATTTTTTCATTTATAAATCAAACCAAAGATCTAAAAAATAAATTTAGAAGATCAGTCCAAACTAGAGTGAAACCTGTGTGGACTAACAGACTGTTAAAGCAAAATGAGATCTTAAGAATATTTTCTGAATCATACTTGAATCTCTTTGGTTGAAGTCAAAATTTTTTTTGAAGTACCTAAATTCTATTGTTACTTGTTTTCCACTGAGAGTATTCCAACTCTGCATGTAACCTCCTCTGTATGATGAAAAAATAGAACAATATTAATTCCTTTCATTTTGCATCTTGCTTTATAGCTCGCAAAGCCTTTTCTTGTCCATCCTGTTGTTTAAGCCAGGCAGAGAGGTTGGTGGGACAAAACCTCCTTGTCTCCATCTCACATGAGGCCAATGACAGTTAAGAGACTTAAACAGAGTTGCAGAGTCATTGGGCCAGAGATGAGACTCAGACCCTAGAGTCCCAGCTCCTGGTTTAGACTTCTTTGCCGCCTTTCAATCCATCAACAACTTGAGCAGTCGTACTGTGCTTTGGAACTGAGATGATAAAGACATACATAAAACATGTTCCTGCCCTTCAGAGCTTACATCTCATTGGGAAAATAAAACCAACACATATAAATCAGGACAAGTATTATTGTTACTGTGGTATTCAGAGAAGTGATGGCTGGGGTGAGTGGGACAGGTGAGTGCTATAGGAGTCAAAGGAGAGGTGCATAGATGAGGGTAGAGTAGTCAAGGATGGCTTCTCTGCAGATGCTAACATTGGAGCTACATCTAGAAGCCCAGGAGGATTTTTGAACTGAGGAGTGATGTGTTCGAAGAAATTCCTTATCATTTGGGGTTGAGAGTGGTATCTTCTGGAGTATCAGTAAGACCTTGAACCACACTGGTGAGGGTATGGGGAAGTGTCAACACATGAATCAACCATGAGTACATACGGATCCTCCTTCCTCTGTCAGCTTCTTCCTGTGAGACCTACGAGTACCCACAGCGTGGTGGAGAGAGTGCAGGCCGGTCTGCTGAATCCATGAGTGATGGAGTCGGCTCTTTCCTGGTGAGTGTGGGTTAACCAGGGGTCCTCAGGCAGGCCTGGTTAGGTAAAAGGCCACACCTTATGGAACTAAAAGCACAACCCCAAAAGAGTGATGGCATCTCCATCTTAAGACCCTGCCCAAGTTCTTGTCTCAGTTCAGAACCCTGCGTTGAGTCTTTGGACAAGTAAGATACAAGTATTCTAGTCCGGAAGAAATGTATGTGCTAAGGTAGACTGGATTACAAGGTTCACCAACCTTGTAGGTAAGCAGAGGGTCTAGAATGCAATAGACCCAGGCTGCACGGTGGGGGATCTTCTAAGGCAACAACCTTACCCACATGGCCTCACATGTAGGAGGGAGGCTGCAGTGTGAGACTCCAGGCAAGGGTAGTACTCACAGTCATGCTAAGTGGCAGAATTATGGCTTGAGAGCAGGATCCCAGGCTGCCCTCTGGAAAATGCTAACACAGTTCTCCAACGTGTCAGGCAAGAAAACCAAGGCCTGGCTTCAGGCCCACTGGAAAGACGTGAAATCAGGTAACCAAGGCAGAAGCAGCTTAGTTGTATGTCAGGGCACGTAGAACAAGAGTTAGAGGAAGGCTATAGCCAAGGGTGCTGTATTGCACAACTCTGTAGAAGCTCCGACTGCAGCTTGGTGGTCCCCTAGGTGCCTGGAGTGAGCCCCAGGTACTTAGGAACCTGGACTGGGGAAACACAACTGGCCCCAGACCTCACCTTTCAGAGCCAGGACTCCTAATATGCTCCTTGTTCTGATCCAGGGCCCGAGATGCTGACCTGCCAATGGTGAGTCTGGACTTGAGGTGGAGGGCAGGTCCTGAACCAAACCTACAGTCTATGGACTATGCTACCCACAATGTTGGTCAGGCATCCAGAAAGCCAAGTGGACCCAGTCACCAAGAATATTTTATACTCTAGATTTATCAAAAATTATTGGTGGATGCCAAAGGATCATGAAGGCTTGAAGGGGCCCACGGACCTCATATATTCTTGTCTCCCACTCTGCTTCCTTTTTTTTTATTTTTTATTTTTTGAAACAGAATCTCGCTCTGTCACCCAGGCTGGAGTGCAGTGGTGTGATCTTGGCTCACTACAACCTCAGCCTCCCATCTTCAAGCGATTCTCGTGTCTCAGCCTCCTGAGTAGCTGGCATTACAAGCATATGTCACCACGCCCAGCTAATGCTTTGTATTTTTAGTAGAGAGGAAGTTTCGCCTTGTTGGCCAAGCTGGTTTCGAACTCCTCACCTCAAGTGATCCAACTGCCTTAACCTCCCACTACTCTGCTTTCTTATTTGGTCTCCCCAGGGTCTCCCTTACAGCTTCAAAGTGTAGCTAACCCAGTCATGACTTGTCTTGCCTAGTTTACAAAGTCTTACCTACTTCCTGTTTCTTCTTGCTAGTAACAGCTGTATTTCTTTCACTGTTCCTCTCCCTAGCCAGGGAAAATGATTGTGGGCCGATCAGACAGCACCAATTCTGAAGACAACTATGTGCCCATGAACCCAGGTTCTTCCACCCTGTTGGCCATGGAACGAGCAGGTGATAATTCCCAGAGCGTCTACATCCCAATGAGCCCAGGGGCCCATCACTTTGACTCACTTGGCTACCCATCAACAACCCTTCCTATGCACCGAGGCCCCAGCAGAGGAAGTGAGATCCAGCCACCCCCTGTCAACCGCAACCTCAAACCTGATCGGAAAGGTAAGTCCATTCTTTCCCCTGTCCCATCTCTGGACAATAGCTAGGGACTCTTTCCATTTGCTTAGGGGTCATGTGGATCCTGGACTTGGGATGTGTGACTTCGGGCAAATCATGTAAATTCTGAGTCTCGGTTTTCTTATCTGTGAAATGAAGATGGTAATTCCTACCTCCCAGGTTTGCTGTGAAGGAGAGCATCTAGGATAGTACTTTGGTACACAGCAGGCATTCAGTAAAGTCAGGTTTGTGCCCCCTGCATGTAGACCAGGCAAGTTACCAGTCTGCTGTGATCTCACTCTCCTGGTGTTGGATTAGTGGCAAGGATTCAAAGGGAGGAGTAGGATAGCTGGGCAGAGATAGCCCCCTGTGGGTCTGACCAACAGGGAATTCAAATCTTAGCATGTGAAACTGAAGCCCTCAGGCCCTGGTGGCATCTACCTTCCTCCACTGTGGCTTGCACAGACCTGGCCAGGAGCAGCAGAGAGTAGTCACAGTGACCATCTCCACTTCAAATATGGTCTCTTGGCTGGGTGCCATGGCTCATGCCTGTAACCCCAACACTTTGGGAGGCTGAGGCGAGTGGATCACCTGAGGTCAGGAGTTTGAGACCAGCCTGGCCAAAACAGTGAAACCCCGTCTCTACTAAAAATGCAAAAATTAGCCAAGCGTGGTGGCAGGCTTCTGTAGTCCCAGCTACTAGGGAGGCTGACGCAGGAGGATCACTTGAACCCAGGAGGCAGAGGTTGCAGTGAGCTGAGATTGCACCACTGCACTGCAGCCTGAGCAACAGAGCGAGACCCTGTCTCAAAGAAAATATATGTAAATATATATGTATATGTAAATATATATTAATATCTGTATTAATATATAAATATATCTTTATATATAGTCTCTTATTTTTAAATGAAGTCATAAATCGAGGGAGAAGAATCTGTTGTCAAACCCTGTGTCCTCATTTTTGATTCTGAAAATATAATTACCGTAGATACAGCAGAAAGAATATTTAATTTGGAGTCTGAAGACATGACTTCAAGGCCCATCAATATGGGCAAAGATTATATAACCTCACTGAGCATCAGTTTCGCTGTGTGAAACTGGAATGACTTTGCAGGCCTTTATAAACATGCTCATGTGTTATATATAAGTTGTGTATGTGTAGCATTATTACTGGCTGATTACCAGACTTTCTTTTCCTGCTCCAGCAAAGCCAACACCACTTGACCTGAGAAACAACACTGTCATCGATGAACTCCCCTTCAAGTCACCTATCACCAAGTCTTGGTCTAGGGCCAGGTGAGTGCCTATGTGTGGGGGTGGGAGCTTGGAGTCAGCCCATTAGAGAAGATGAGTGAAATGGTAGCTGGCCTGTGGGCCAGGACAGCTGGATTCTGATGCTAATGCTCTCATTAGCTGATCATGTCTCTTGATCTCTTGTGGCTTGGTTTCCTCAGCTATAAAAGAGAATAATTATACTTGCCCTATATCAGATCTTAATCTGATGGAGTGTGCAGCTCTAATGGCTGAGGTCTGGGTGTGTGAGGGTCAGGACTCAGCTGTAGGCTAGAAACAGGGCAGCAGCCATGCTGCTTCCCCAGTGTTGATTCTTCCTTCCCACAACAGCCACACCTTCAACTCCAGCTCCTCCCAGTACTGCCGCCCCATCTCCACCCAGAGCATCACCAGCACAGACTCAGGAGACAGCGAAGAGAACTATGTCCCTATGGTGAGTCCTTCGGGCTTCGCTGGAATGACTCCTATCAAAGTCCCCTGGGACCCACCGCTCAGTTCCCCACTTCCCAGCTTAGCTAATTCACCTCTGCCCAGGGACTCCTTGTATTATTCATGATTTAGTTTCCTGCTACAAACCCTTCTTGAGCACCTATTTATCAAGCAGTAGGAGTTGTCATCAGATGTAAGGAAGACATGAGACCTGTCCCAACAAAGTCATGGTCTTCAAGGGCAGGGGCCTGCCTCTCTCATGACAGTGACACAGGTGTCAGGATCTGTGTGCCCTTGGATAGTCAGTGCTGGAGGTATCTCCTCAGCGGTGAGAGGCATACATGCACATAACTCACTTTGGTGAGGCCGTAATAGAGCTATCAGCACAGGCAGAGGAGGATATTTCTTCCCTGAGATTTCCATTAAGGGCATAACTGCCCAGCACCTGGTAGTCACTGCATAGACAGTGAAAGAATGAATTACCAACCAATAAAGCAGCCAACAAACAGAACACAGGACTATCACCTTCTCATTAGAATAAGACTTCAGGAAAGTCCTAGAGGGGGTGGTGCTTTGCTAGAGCAGGAGTCTGGATGGACAGGATCCCAGAGTGTGTCATCTGAAGAAATGCGGGCTTTGTGCAGCCTGGAGATAAAGCCACCCTGTTCAGATCTTGGAGGAGCTAGGTTGGGGAGCAAGCTGCTTTGGGGTGACTACCCCACTCTAGGCCACAGGTGGGAGTTTCAGAGGGGCTGATTTGGTGCAACAGAAGAAAACTTTCCAGTGCATAAAGGAAATGTGCTCCCTTCTTAAGTGCCAGCAAGCAAAGGCTGGGTGTCTCAGGAGAGCCCCTGTTGATGAGATTTGGCCTGATGTGCTATAAAGGAGACAGTGTGGCACAGGGGTTAGCACAGGTTTGGAAGTCAGAAAACAGACCTGATTCCCATCACTCGACAGCTGTGCAACTACAGGCAAAGTCACTTCTCTGAAAGTAAAGTGAACCACAGTTTCATATTTGTTTTAAACAGTATCAACAGTAATCATACCTACATTACAGGATTGTCATGAGGACTAAAATGAGAACATGAAAAGTCCTTAGCATGATGCATGAGTCAGAGTAGGGCTCAGGGAACCAGTGTTCTTACTCCCAGAGGTATTTTTCTGGGTGGTGGGTTAGTCTGTTCTCTACACTCACGGATTTTTCCTCCTCGTGACAGCAAAACCCAGTGTCTGCATCTCCCGTTCCCAGTGGCACCAACAGTCCTGCCCCTAAGAAGAGCACCGGCAGCGTCGATTATCTGGCCCTGGACTTCCAGCCAAGCTCCCCAAGCCCCCACCGCAAGGTGCCTGGAGTAGAGGTTGGGGGGACAGTAAGAGCTCTCAGGGCCCCGGAGGCAGAGATCATGGAGGTCAGGGTGCCTTCAACACTGAACAGCAGCACTCAGCCTCCCTCCTGCTCCAGTACCTAGCTTTTATGATGCATCTTTAGTCATAGAGCTTTCACCTAGGTCTAAAGACTCCTATTCCTGCTCTCAGAGCACAGTACCCTCAAAGAACCTCATCAGTCAGCCCATCCCCCGTGTTGTAGAGATGGGCAAATGAGTGCATAGAGATCTGATTGTGCTAAACAAAGTGAATCAGGGCAAATGAGTGCATAGAGATCTGATTGTGCTAAACAAAGTGATCCAGGAATGAGGATACTGCCTCCTGGTCCTGGGCTCTTAGGTGTGTCCCAGAGCCCTGCCGTCAATACATCAGCCTTCACAAGGGACTTCCAGGCCTGGGAAAGCCTCCCCAGGAGGTACCCTTAGCTAAGCAGTCTAGACAGCAGGGTGCAGAGCTGTGCCTCAGCATGGTTCCCCTTCACAGGGTGGCGGTGAGTACAGCACGTAAAGTCCTGTGGCTGGTGCTTGTTTACACCCAGCAAAGTCCTTCCCCTGGATGAGCAACCTGACAGAGATGGGTGGAGGCAGAGATGAAGGCCTGGACCCATCCACCAGGGCCAAGGAAGGGCCTGGGTCGTCCCAGGAGCCGGGAAGTAAGAAGGGCTGGCAGGGGCTGCCGCATCCTGCAGGAGGGATAATGAGTTTGGAGTCTGAGCTTTAAAGCCCACATTCAGAAAGAGAAGCCAGGCTCCTGAGGCTGGTCAGTGGCAGGCAGAGGCCATGCTCTTCTCCCCTTCAGACAGCTCAGGAAGATCCCACGCCCATCTTCTTCCTCCCCACCTAACTGGTAACTCACAGCTACTCCCTCTTTCCCACTCTGTCCCCTCAGCCATCTACTTCATCTGTCACTTCTGATGAGAAGGTGGACTATGTTCAGGTGGACAAGGAGAAGACCCAGGCCCTGCAGAACACCATGCAGGAGTGGACAGACGTGCGGCAGTCCTCGGAGCCTTCCAAGGGTGCCAAGCTGTGACGAGAGGGCCACCGCAGAGCCCAGGGAGGGGCCAGGAGGCAGCGTCTCCAGAGCTGGCCCTTCACATCTCCCCTACCCCTCTCCCCTCTCCCATTGTTCCTTCCATTCACTTCCTCTCTACTCTGCCAGTCTCAGCCTTCAAAGCACTTGACATCAGGGACCCTGAACCCTTCCCCTGGGAGGTGAGGGCCTGATCAAGGCACCTCCTCTGCCCACTCGGGGCCCAGCTGTGATTTTTATCAGTAATGGCCATGCCTCCACCCACCTTAGTTAGGAGCTATTGCCAAAAAGCATCCTTCAGCCTTTTCCTGTCCTTTAGACCTGACTATCTACCAGATGTTTGGAGGGAAGGGCTGGGGCTCTGAGCCAGATTCCACACCTCACGTTCAGTCACAGCCCTCAGCTATCTTCCCTCCGGCCACTGGGCTACCTCTCCTTCAGTCCCAGAAGACAAGTTTCACTGACCCAGGGAGTCAAGGACCAGCAGACCAAAGTGGATAATGGACTTTTTCATTCCTGTTTTTCTTGGCAGGAGAGAAGCAAGGCCACTAAAAGAGGAGACGGTGGAGAAGGAGGCCCAGCAGTGGTCTTGAGGGGTAAAGGACTTAGATGCCCAGATGCAGAGGGAAAGCTGACATCTGCAGGGACCCCCACTTTCAGGCTAAGGCCATGGCAGGACAGCTGCTGTGGGGTGCACAGGCGGAGGATGAAGGACAAAAGGAAGGGAAAACTGACGATGGCCAACCTAGAGCAGCAAGGAGCAGCGCTTGGAGCTCAGGTGGTAGAGATGACAAGGACACTGTGGGGTCTGGGTCCCCAGAACTCTGGAGCTACAGGCCACTCTAGGCCCAAGGGCAGTCCTCTTCCCCAACCCCCTCAAAGGCTCCCGCCAGCCTCACCTTGAAAGCATCACACAGGGGAAGGCTTGGACCAAGCTGGGCGACCAAGCACGTGGGGCAGGAACACATGGTAAAGGGGTGGGGAATATGGGAGGGAGTGTGGTGTGGATGGGTGTGATTCAGGGAATGAGGGGAACCCGGGGACAGGCACAGGCTGGGCAGAGGCGCAGAGCAGGGCAGGGGACTCTGCAGTGGGGTGGGGCAGCGAGTTTCTATGTAGTGAGCAGTGCAGTGGAAGTTGGGTGCAGAGGTAGCAGACAGATGTGAAGCAGGGGTGAAGGCCATGTAGCAAGTGGGGAAATATATTCAAAGGGCCTGGGAGTGGGGGAGTGCCCAAGGCAATGCTTGGGGGTACAGGGTGGAGCAGAAAGTGAAGGAGTGACACGTTATGCAAGAGTGGTGTGCATGGTGGTGTGACATGAGCACCGTTCCTAGGATGGAGGGACAGCAGGTCAGGCAGGACAAGGAGAAAGCAGGGCAGAATGATGCCTAGAGGACCACATCAGACGTGGCTGACAGCTTGTGCCCATGGGCTGTGGCGTATGTCAGATCGCAGGGTAGGAAGGAGTCTGGCCTGGTGCCGGCCCTGGGTTTCCTCATCTCATCCGTCCTCTGTTGCTCTCTAGCATTCCAGGAGCCATGTTGGACTCTCCTCCCCGGGCTTGAAAGGCTATCAGATTAACAGGGATGGGGTGTAGGGCATCATCCAAGGTTCCTTCTCTTAAGCCTAGGGTGGGGGATCTGAATTTTTTTATGTTGACAGTTCTTGACTAAATTTTCAAGAGTTTCAGAAGCAACAGGACAGACGAGATGTTTCATTCTACCCTGGGATGAACAGACGTTCTTCTTCCCAAAGAGTGACTTCCTGCCATGTTCGATGGGGGCAGCTACTCCCTTCTGCCCCCACTCCCCTTTCAGCTCCCATGAGCATGCATACTTCACCAGACCAATGGCCTAGCCATTCTCTAAGTCCCATCCTGGAAGAAGTTATTTCCTCAAGAGTTGCACCTCTCCTCCTAGCATTAGTTTAGATCAACTCAAGGAGCATTTATTAATGGCTGCTGTGTCCAGTCTCTGGGGTTAAGCACCAACCACACAAGAATCAATCAGACCTTGTCCCCGAACTTGAGATAGTCACAATCAGAAAAAGGACAAGGACACAAGACAGTGGTGATGGCCATCAGAGAGAGACTTTAAATGCTGACGGAGGGCAGAGGAAGTAAAGACTTAGGGAGGTTGGTGCCAGAGGCAGGAGTGGGGTCACAATCAGGGAAGGTGGATTCTAGGAAAAGGGGGTGCCTGAGGTAGGCCTTAGAAGGGGATGAGTCAGATTTTTACAGAGGAGGAGGGCAGGGCTTGGGTCCAGTGGAGGAAGGAAGGAAGGAGAGACTTGGAAAGCCTTGTGTCTTGGGAACAAAAGGCCTTTGAGCATATGGGTCCAGCCACTCAGAAGTGCCGGGGCCATGCCTTGGTGTTCCAACAAGTGAATGGTAGCAGTGGCAGCGCCTACACTGGGCAGAGTTGGCAGGGTGCGGTTCACTCTGCCCAGCCCTGAATGTGTGCCTTTAAGGCCCTCCGCAAGGGGCCCCACACAACAGAGCTTTTCACTGGTGCCTTCCCTGTACCCGCAGCAGCCACAAGTGGGCCCCAGACTATTGCAGCCTCCCATAAACATGTGAGCATGTTCTGAGTGTGCCATGATGTGGTGGACCTTGGCTGGAATCTTCAGAGCACGACTGAGGTGTTTAAATCGAATCTCCCAGGAGGCCTCCTTCCAGCTCCCGATTCCGGTAACTACCAAAATCCCTCGGGTGCAAGTGTAGGGGTAGAGATGGAAGGATGAGAGGCAAAATTGGCCTTTTGAAAGCAAAGCTCTGGCTCACAAGCCCCAAACTACCAGCCGTGTCTAGCATATCCCTGCCCTCCACTCACTACCTCCCCCAACAAAGGAGTCAACTCAGTTGAAAAAACTGGTTCTTTGGCCTATCCATGGGTCAAAGTCCACCTCTCCTGGGGGCCTGGCGAGGACTGAGACCCTGGAAGTGGGGGGATACCTTCCCACCCAGCGCTACTTCACACAAGTCCCCTGCCTGGGGCTCTCCAAGGAGCCTTCTTCACCCACTTCCAGCTCCACTTCTGCAAGGCTGAGTGAGAACAATCAAATAGGGAGATGGTGTCTACTTAGGTCCTTGGTCTGCCTGTCTGTGGAATGGGAGGTTGGATTAGATGCGCCGAGGTCCCATCCACAGCTGGTGCTCAGCTGCTTGAAGAGGAGACTCCCTCTGTAACTTCTTTCTGGGGGATCTGGATGGTCAGGGGTGGGCAGCACCTATCCCCAGTCCCCTCCTAGCTTGACTTTGGTAACTTCTACATTGGAAACCATTAAAGTATGCCCCATTCCTAGGACAAAAGCACAACCATTCTGAATTTACTAGAGCATGGGCTCAGCTCATCTCCACTCTGGCCCCTTCTGCCATGGGACATCTTGGGCCAGAACCCCCACCCCGTTTCCAGAGCTCTTCCTTCCCCATCTGGGCCTTCATAAAATGCAGGGGAAGTAAGGCTGGCCTCAGGAGCTCTAAAGCCCTTCCATAGGGGTCATCTTTCTGGGACTTGCCCGAGTGCTCTTTGGGGCCTGGGACTACAAGGAGCTGCCTACTGAGGGGGGGTCCCCCAGAGATCCAGGCTATCGTGTGATTTCTGGTGGCATGTGTTGTGTATTTGTTGGCTACTTGTGTCTTGAAATCTAGAATTATTTCGTGCAGAATTGTCACTATTTGTCAGGAAGAGAAAATGGGCTAGTGGAAGCCCAGTCTTGAGTTCTTGTCTTGTTACCATTTAAAATTGACATTTAATTTTCAAATCACTGTTGGTGCCTAATCACTTAAGTTATTAATTTATTCTGTTGTATTCTTTTTTTAAAAAAAAAAAATTGTAACATATTTATCCGGTGGGTGGGGCAGGAGTGTGTTCAAGTGGGTCATGTTTTTGCTGTGGTGACACATGGTACAGGCCTGGAGCTTGCAGGTCCCTTTCTACTGTGGTGTTGGAGCAGGACAATAAAGTCCACTAGAAATGCACCCTGGAACTAGCTGCTGTGTCCATCTTGTCTTGAGGGGCTTGGCATTGGAACCCGTTCTCACTCGTCTGTTCCATTTTTATTGGGTATTTTACTTGGCTATGAATAAGAACGAACGCTCTCTACCTCAGTCTGTTGTAAAGTGGAAATTATATACTAGCATTTGCCAATCCATCTTTCTTAGGCGTCTAGAGATGGGTTCTGGACGTGTCTGTCTACTACTTTCACAGGTCACTTAGGTGCGACATGGGGCCCAAACTCCATGCCTCCATCACAGCCCCGGGGAAGGAGCTAGGTACAGGCTTGAGAGCTGCCTCCCAGGTGAGTCCTCTCCATGGGCATCACCCTGGCCTCAATAAGTAAGGTAAGTCAGTTCACACCTTTACTTACACCACACTTCAGTAGAGGGCTTTCAGCTCCCTGTGGCATCTCACATGTCACCAGGGGGGCAGGCTGACTCCTCACCTTGCCACCCGTCAGCCTCTCCAGACCCTGTGAGAAAAATCCAGCGGCTATCACAGCCCCTGAGACCAAGGAAGAACGATCTCTTGCTAGGCTTCAGAGAACCTAGTTTTATTTATTTAAGAACATAGGTGTCTTCTCTTCGGTTAGAAGGGGCTACAGCAGTGTCAGGGCACACCCAACCTGCAGGTGGCTGCTCTCACAGCTACAAAGGCCAACTGATCAGAGGAGCCCACTAGCTTCCTCAGAAGAGACCACACTTCACGAGGAACATGGAACACCTCTGCAGTAAAATAAGGACTCTACCTTAACCAGGAGAGGGGGATGCAAGTGGTGGCTTCTCAGGCACTGAGGCAGGCTGGGGCGGAGGGGATGTGGGGGCAAAGGCCTCCTGCTATGAGGAACTAGGCCCACCACCATGCAGTGGTGCTTGGTAAGGGGGCAGTTCTCGGTCTCTGATCCGGGGCCCTGCTGCTTCCCACCTGATCTTCTCAGAAAGGTACAGACAGTGCAGGTACCCCCATATGAGAAACAAGAGGACAGCCAGAGGTACCACTGCCCCCTTCTTTGTGCAAGGCCTGGATCCTGCTGTGCTTTATACTGTAGAGCAGTCAGAAGGAAAATAGTACTTGATGTCAAAACATTAGAGCTGAGGTCCAGCCCTGTTTCCTGAACATCAGCTCTTCCAGCATGGGGAGCCTGCTGGGGAGGGAGGGGGAGGCAAAGACCCGCGTGTGCCCATCTCTGCTGCTTCAAGTTAACCAGGACACTTGGGTGTAAAATCTTAATGGGACTGATCCCCTGTGAGAGGGACTTAGGTCTCACTTCCGTATCTGAGAGTCTCTGTGTATCCTTCATCAGGCTGAGGACTAAGGTGCCATGAGCTGTACCATCAGGCCTACTACAGGACTGAGCCTGCCTCCACAGCCTCCTTCAGGCCCCACCTGGCTCCTGGAGGGAAGGGGTTGGGTTGGCAGCAGGTTCACATCAGAAGACCAGTCTGTGGAAGTCACCACCATTACCACCTGCAGGATTGCAGCCCCCTGGAGAGCCTTCATCCTCATCCTTGTCTTCATCAAAGCCCCTCCCCCAGTGCGGAGATGTGGGGAGTGCAGAGATGTAGGCCGCCCTGCTCCGGGCCTCCTTCTCCTGCTCCTGGGAACACAGATGAGAAGAAACTTAGAATTCCCACCCTGAAGCCAGAGTCTACCCAGCACACCTTTAAGTGTCATCTCTGGGTCCCCAGGGACTGGACACAGAGGAAGGAATCAGGGCTCCTAGAGACATTGCAGCTCAGTGGTAGGATGCCTGGGGTGGTCACATCACACCACATGGGAACCTGTCTACAGGCCTCGTGATCACGAGGAATGGGCTCTGCCTATGAGAAAACGCATCCTCCTGCCGCCATGAGGTCAGCCTCATGGAGAGCCTATCGCCACCCTGCCTTCATCTGGACAGCATGGCAGAAGCTGTCCCGGAGAACCCGCCTCAGGCCCCTCACTGGGCCGCTGCCAGTAAAATAGCACATAGGAGGCCCACGTGGGTAGTATGACACACACACACACACACACACACACCCTCCCAGAAGCATCCTCTTCCCCCTCAGACTCAACTGGTCCCTGTGCTCCTCCTTCAGCACACTTATTAAATAACTGCATTGATAACATGATTCTATATCTAGAAAACCTCATCTCAGCCCAGGAGCTTCTTAAGCTGTTAAGCAACTTCAGCAAATCTCAGGATACAAAAACCACTGTGCAAAAATTGCTAGCATTCCTATACACCACCAACAAGCAGGGAGCCAAATCATAAACTCCCATTCACAACTGCTACAGAAAGAATAAAATACCTAGGAATACAACTAACAAGGGAAGTGAAGGGAGGACACACATGGAAAAACAGTCCATGCTCATAGATAGGAAGACTCAATAGCATGAAAATGGCCATAGGGCCCAATGTAACAGATTCAATGCTATTCCCATTAAACTACCATTCACGTGCACAGAATTAGAAAATATTTAAAAATTCATATGGAGCCAAAAAGCCCATATAGCCAAGACCATCCTAAGCAAAAAAAACAAAACCAGAGGCCTCATGGGCCTCATGCCTACCTGACTTCAAACTATACAAGGCTACAGTAAGCAAAACAGCATAGTACTGGTACAGAAATAGACACACAGACCAATGGAACAGAATACAGAACTCAGAAATAAGACTCCACACCTACAACCATCTTCAACAAACCTGACAAAAGCAAGCAATGGATAAAAGATTCCCTATTTAATAAATGGTGCTGGAAGAACTGGCTAGCCATAGGCAGAATACTGAAACTCGACCCCCTCCATTACACCTTATACAAAAAAGTCACTGAAGATGGATTAAAGACTTAAATGTAAAACCCAAAACTATTAAACCCCTAGAAGAAAATCTAGGCAATACCATTCAGGGTATAGGCCAAGATTTAATGATGAAAACACCAAAAGCAATTGCAACAAAAGCAAAAATATGACAAATGGGATCTAATTAAACTAAAGAGCTTATACAGAGCACAAGAAACTATCATCAGAGTAAACAGACAACCTACAGAATGAGAGAAAATTTTTGCAAATTACCCATCTGACATAAGTCTGATGTCCAGAGTCTACAAGGAACTTAAATGTCCAAAAAAAAAAAAACCCCATTAAAAAGTGGGCAAAGGATATGATGAACAAACACTTCTCAAAAGACATTCATGTGGCCAACAAACATATGAAAGAAAAACTCCATATCACTGACCATTAGAGAAATGCAAATCAACACCACAATGAGATACCATCTCAAGTAAGCCAGAATAGTGATTATTAAAAAGTCAGGAAACAGATGCTGGTGAGGTTGCAGAGAAATAGGAATGCCTTTACACTGTTGGTGGGAGTGTAAATTAATTCAGCCATCATGGAAGACAGTGTGGCCAATTCCTCAAAGACCTAGAGGCAGAAATACCATTTGACCCAGCAGTCCCATCACTGGGTATACACCCAAAGGAATATAAGTCATTCTAATATAAAGATACATGAACATGTATGTTCACTGCAGCACATTTCACAATAGCAAAGACATGGAATCAACCCAACTGCCCATCAATGATAGACTGGATAAAGACAATGTGGCACATACACACCATGGAATACTGTGCAGCCATAAAAAGGAATGAGATCACGTCCTTTGCAGGGACATGGATAGAGCTGGAAGCCATTATCCTCAGCAAATTAACACAGGAACAGAAAACCAAACACCGCATGCTCTTGTAAGTGGGAGCTGAACAATGAGAAGACATGGACACCTGTTGGGGGTAGGAGGGGAACAACACCCACGAGGGCCTGCTGGGGGTGGTGGGGGAGGGAGGGCTTCAGGAAGAATAGCTAACAGATACAGGGCTTAATACTTAGGTGATGGGTTGATCTGTGCATCTAACCACCATGGCACACCTTTAAGTAACAAATCTGCACATTCTGCACATGTACCCTGGGACTTAAAGAAAAAATAAACCTGTGTCATTCATTATTCAGTGTCTGTTACTTTGAAGTAAGGGGTTAGGTCTGTCTGGGCCACCAGTATATGCCCAGCACTGAGCAATGGATGAATGGGATTTTAAAAAAAGACTTAAAGGGGAAATGACTTATCTAAGCCAGTAATGGGACTGAACTCCCTCCACCAGGAGATCAGATCAAAGGCCCCACGGCTCAGCTCACCTGTAGGTAAAGAATGTTGTCTTTGGAAATGGCTTCCATCAAGTCCTTGTGCAGGGTGGGCTCGGTCCGGACTCTAGAAGAGCCCGACTCAGCCTCGGGCCCTTCCCTGGGCCGCTGCCGGTAAAAGAGCACATAGGCTGTGTCCTTGGGGAAGAAGGAGGTGACGTTGCTGACAGATTCGAAGGAAGAGAAGGACACCCGAGTGTCATTGAACAGGTACCACTGGTTCTCGGGCTCTGGCCTATCGGCAGTTCCCAGAGAAGGGGCAGGGCGGGCAGCGCCCTCGCGGGCATAGCAGTAGTAGTGACCACTCTCCGAAGACACTCCAGAGTGTACCACAACGCTGCAGAGGTCATAGGCCTGGCCCCGGCCACCAGCCAGTGGTAGGCGGAGCAGCAGGGGGATGGAGACGTCATCCAGGATCTTGCGGCGCCGCATGGTGCGCAGGTCAAAGGAGAAGCGCAGCAGTGTGAGGATGAGGTAGCGCGGCCCTTGGCTCAGCTCCACCACCTTCTCGGCATCCTGCAAGGAGGCACATGACTCGCAGTAGTAGCGGTTTTCTGCTGTCAGCTTCTCGGGGGACAGGAAGTAGTTGACCAGGTCCAGGACAGAGCGGGAGCCCTCAGAGCCACACATCTGCTCCCCAGAGGGGATGGCAGCGTCCAGGTGGCTCCCCGCTCCCAGGCTGTCTTCTTCCTTTTCCTGCTCAGCCTCCTTTTCTGTCTCCTTCTCCACCTTCTCTTCCACCTCCTCCTCTTCCTCCCTCTCTTCCTCCCCTCTGGTGCTTTCCTCCTCCTCCTCCCCCGCTTCTTCCTTCTCCGTTCCCTCCTCCTTCCCTTCTTCATCCCTCTCTACCTTTTCCTCCTGACTGTTCTGCCCACCAGCTTCCTTGGAGTCCAGGCCTTCAATGTCCAGGCTGGTGGGAGGGGTGTCCCCTGTGATGCAGTGTTTCCTTTGCCTCCGAGGACCCACCCTGCCTGGCCCCTGTGCACTGGCTGTTGGGAGCAACTCCTGGGCTGTGATGTCTCCTGTAGGGCGCATCACAGAGCCCAGGCGGCGGCGGCGACAGCGCTCAGGAGGAGGAAAGGCGAGAGAGAGGTCCGTGAAGGCCTCCTCCCGGGAGGAGACGTTGAGGCAGCAGAGACAGCAGATTCGAGTCACTATCTTGCCTCCAAACATTTTCTCCACAGAGGTTGAACTTGGGGCCGGCGGCTCCTCGGGCAGGGAGGGCGAGCTGGACTGCTTGAGTTTCTGGCAGATCCTTGTGCCTGTTTTCTCCTCTTCGTGCAGCCTGGGGCAGGGAGCAGAGTCTCTATATGTACATGTGGGTCCCCTTCCAGGGCACTCAGCTTATCCATGCCCATCTATCTTCCCCAACAGCCACACACACGTACCAAACGCTCACACATCCACATATGTGCTCACACAGCACGCTTGCTAGACTCACCCACACACCCTACATAAAGACTTGCTGGAGCTATGTAACGTGCTTCCATAGCAGTGACAAAGATGCACGGCCCAGTGTGCAGATGTACACGATGACCTCCCAGAGGTCACTTCCGTTCAGCATCTACCAAATCTCCCTCACACTCAGTCCCTGCCCTTCCAGCACACCCCTTCTCCAAGCCCTCCACATGTTCGAGGCAGCACACTTATTCCCCGGAAGCTGCAACACAGCTCAGAGGTACTGGGCTTGCCCCCAGGGACCTTCTAGACCTGGAGCCTTCGCGTGGCTCTGGCCCACTTACCGATCCAGCAGGTACTTCAGATACTCCGAGCAGTCCTGCTGGGTGCCAGGGCTGAACCAGGGCGTCCAGGATGCAGAAAGGAAGTTCTCTGGGGAAATGGCAGGCCGCTAGGACAGGGCAGGTGAAAGGCACGGTCAGGAGCAGGAGGCCACTCACCAGCCAGCTCTGCACAGGTTAGGCCTGACGGTCTACCTCATACCCTCGGCCTCAAACTTCCCGGCCTCCTCCATGAAGTCCTCCCCACTTTCTATTGTCCCCGACCCATCCCAGCCCACATGTCCATGCCTCTGAGCAGGGCATGGGGATCACAGAGATGAACGAGCCTCCAGGAATCTGCTCTCCCTGCCTCCGCTCACTGCCATTCTCTCCCGTCAAGATGAGTCCCAGATACAGCACCGCCTCTTCCATGTGGTCTTCCCAACCCTCCCTCACTGACCTTTCCCTTCCCTCCATGAGCCAGGGAGGGATTACTCATCTCTGTGCCCCCACACAGAGCTTTGTATAATCCCTGGCCAAGGGCTTTGGGCTCCATGAGGGCAGAGATTGTTGTTGTTCTGTTAACCTCTGTACTCTCAACAGCTCTCAGGCTGCCTGGCTATGTGGGTACTCAAAAATGACAGCAGAATGAAGCAACATGCTGTGGTGTGACTGTGTCCTCCAAAAAGCATGTGTTGGAAACATAGTCCCCAGAGAAGCAGTGTTGAGAGGCGGGAACTTCAAGAGGGGAGGAGGTCCTGAGCACTCTGCCCTCATGAATGTATTAATTCCCTATCACAGGCCATCTGCTTTCCCCAGTGGTGCACACTGAGACAGAAGCAGGTTCCTGATAAAAGGATGAGTTCACCCCGCTTTCCCTTCTCATGCATGCTCGCACACCGTGATGCCTTCCACCACATTGTAATGCAGCAAGAAGGCCCTCACCAGACATAGCCCCTCGATCTTGGGCCTCCCAGCTTCCAAAACTGAGAAATATATTTCTTCATAAATCGCCAAGTCTCAAGTATTTGGTTATAGCAGCATAAGATGGACTATGGCAACACCATAATGCGATGGACTGAATTGCTGAAGGGGGAAGATTGGGCAGCACAACATGGGACAGGGCTCAAGGGGGCCCTCCTCCTGCCCCAAGGGGGCACTAAATTAGCTCCACATGCCAGGCCCGCTGGGGGCTCAGCTACTGACATGGGAGATGACAGCCAGATGCAGGCAGGTCCTGGGGAAGGGAAAGGTGTCCGTGTCAGGGCCTGACCAGAGCTGCCTCTCCACCTGGTTCTGACTCCCCCTACACTCACCTGGCTGTGCTCTAGGAAGCCAAAGAGCCACTGCAGCTTGGTCATCAGCGGCTGTGAGTTGTTCTCAGTCAAGCGAAGCACACAGTGTCTGAAGCTTCAAAACAAAGCAGGGGCACCCAAGGTAAGCCGTGGGCCCCCAAGGAGTCTCTAGTCATGCATGTCACAGGCAGCCCAGAGCCTCCAGGCCAAAGGCAGAACAGATATTTCTACCCCAGGATGGAGCCAGAGGCCAGGGACTGGGGAGGAAGAGCAGGTGAACAACTCAGGCTGGGGTATCTGAGGTCAGGAACACAACAATAGACATGTTTTGGACAATGAAGGGTACAAAGGTGATCCTTGTAGCCCCTTCCAGCTCTGAGACCTCATAACTTCAGGACTCAAAGATTCAAATGTCCTAAGGTCCTGTGGTTCCAGGGTTCTAGGGCTGGGACATGCCACAGGATCTGCACCAATATCATCCCAGCCGCAGCAGCCCCTCGCACTCCCTTCTTAGCTGCTTCCCTGGGGAAAGACATTTATCCACCTCCAGAGCAGCAGGCCCTGCTCTGACCTGGGCCCTCCAATTGACTCCTACAGCTCCTGTAAGGGCCCTGGCCCCTGCCCCTAGAGCCACCTCAAGCTGTTCCCCTGCCTCCCAATGAGGGAGACAGAGGTCAATGTGAGGAATATGCTGAAAGAAGAGGACCCTGTGGGGATGGGTAGACTGGCTCCTAGTGGGAAGGGTCTGATCCTATAGGAGACAGCTCCCCTCCCTACACGAACATTCTCTGGAACAAGCCAATTCCCAGGCTGCAGCTTATTTCTTGATCTCACAAGCAGCTCCGGGCATATTGCCCATGCACTCTCCAAACTCAGCCCACTGCACGGAAGCGCCCTAGGCAAAGTGTGGGCCACCTGGCTGGTCTCAGTTCAAGGTAAGGTCAGAAGTTGAGTGAGCACTTAGGAACATACATAGCATTTTAGCATCACAACGACCATACAAGCATGTGACCGTTTTTCTAGTAAGTCATTTTGTTATATTTTACCAAAGTAATATTCTGCAGCAGACTGGAATTTAGAAAAGAAAAACAAAACTAGTCCTTCACCAGGCATTTTGAGAAGAATGTGCAGCAGCCTTGGAGATTAGCTCCAATCTCCTCCCACTGAACTGACGCTCAGAGAAAAGAAACTGACTTGAGGACATATGATAAGCCAGAATCAAAGCTTATTTTCACTGAATCAAAGCTGAAACTTTGATCTTTTAAGTAAGCCATAGGTAGATAGGTGGCCATAGACTATAAAGATTGTGTTGGTTTCATTTTAAAAGAGAGATGTCTAATACCAGGATGGGTGGGAGTTCTACTCTGGAAGACCGAATCCACCCCCATGGACTCCAGGAGAAGAGTCAGTGATGTCAGCCAGTCCAGAGCAGACCCCCTTCCCAGTGCTGCCCAGCCCCTGAAGCCCCTTCTTCAGTTCCCATTCAGTCCTGACCTACTGCCTTGGCAATGGCCTGAGGCTCTCAGTCCCCACAGACCTCAGGGAATCATGTCGGCAATGCAAGCAAGGCCCACCCTCTCCAACCCCCGCCCCCCAAACCTTTCCACCTGTCATCAGGGAGCCCAGAGGAGAGAAGCAAGGGCAGACAGGGAATTCCAAAGCAGCACCTACTCAGATGCCATGAACAAGGCCTGAAGGATGCTGTTGACGTAGCACGTGTTGCCCAGGTTGATGAGACCAATCTTGCCCGTGTCTGACTTGGCCATGAGCCGGGGATAGAAACCTGCCAGCTCGCTCTTCTGCGAAGTCCAGGCATCCTGCCCTAGCAGCTGCTTGATGCGGTCCTCATTGGGAACGTGGAGGTCCTGAGGAGGGAATAAGCAGGCAGGCAGGATGGTAGGCACCAGGGTCAGCTCAAAAAAATATCACCTCTTCTGGGAGGCCTTCTCAGATACAGCCAACCCCGTGACCTCCCAGACACACACACACCCCGCCCCACAGATGTTCTGGGGTGTGTGTGAACAGTCCCCTGCTTCCAAACCCCTTCAGTTGACATATGGGCTGCCTCCATGGTCTTTCAGGTCATGACTGCCTTAAGGTGGCATAATTCCCATTTTATAGATGGAAAAAATGAAGATTCAGACAGAAAATAATAGTCCAGGATGACTGTAAGTGAAGAATACGCATGTTCTTAAAAGAGCTCAGGCAATGCCAACCCTGGCCCACAGGCCAAACCCAGTGATGTCAGGATGCCAATGCCAGCCCCGACTCCGGTCCGCACTAGCTGTCTGGTGGTGGTGAGGCTCTCTGATTCCGTTTCCTCATCTGTCAAGTGAGGATATGCCTTCCTTGTGTCAGTTTGGCATCCTGCATTTTCATGGTGCGGGCACACAGTGATGTGCCCATTTCCACCTTTTACTTTTAGATTTGCGGAATCAGCTTTCAAGAGAAGAGTCACCTCCCCACAACTTGACCCCACAGTCAGGACAGTGGGCACATCCCTGGGGTCTGAGGTATGCGTCTTGGTCCTCAGCATGCTTCCCACTCATTATCTGTGTCACATCAAACAGCTGCACCTAAGAATACCACCGAGCACTAGTTCTAATGATGCTAGAGGTATCTTCCAAAGAGCAACATCAAGCACCACGTCCTGCTACTTAGATTTCAGCAACATTCCTAACGGTTCCTCTAGCCCTGATCTTATTTCCAGATCCTGGCCACAAGACCTTAGATTTGTCCAAGGCTCCACAGAGCTTCAAAACAGCTCGGCATCCAAAGCCCTCGTCTTCCTAGTGCACATCCTGTGGCTCCCACAAAAGGTCTTGCTCACCCAGTGGGGTTTAACACTTTTGCTCATTCACCTCCCAAGATCATTTATCGGATAATTTATCAGAGCAGTCACTTCTCACAGATGATTAAAAACACACACACATACCAAGGAGATGCCAGCGGGGAGACAGATAAGATACAGGCTCAGTATCTTCTCCGTCCCTTCCTTTTTGTTTTCATGATGCCCTATCTAATGCCCTACTTGTCTGCCCCCCTACCCCACAACATGAACAAATGGAGGCAAAAAGGCAGACAGAACCCCACACATCTGTGCACACACAGAAAAGATGCAAAAATATCCATGCAAGGAACAAAATCAAATGCCATTATTCCCAAAGAAGGTAACTTTATACTCAAGAAAATAAAAACTTCAAAATCACTTAAGAACCTAATAATGTTACTAGAAACTGACATGTGATGGCTCCCTTGGCAAGTACCACAGCTCCCAGAGAAACTGCCATAACCTGATACATCTGCCTAAGTCAGAGAACTTTCCAGAGCTTATTTACAAAGGTATATGTACAAAAGGATGTACTCATAGAACCCATGCAAAATAATTTTATAAGCAGTAAAATCCTATAATTTGCTGCCTCGCCTCTCAAACTGGCTCGTACAAAGGAGTGTTCAAAGCCACAGAACAAATGTGAAGCCATCTTTTCTAACATTCAAAGAAAAACATGGAATATTAAAACATGTTTATAATTACAACATATATACTTGAGTCTTTGAGAGAAAGTGAGGTTGTAGAGAAACTCAGAGCTCATGTCAGGCTGCTTTGGGTGAGTTCCCCTCTCTGACATCAAGTGCTTGGATGGAAACGTTCGAGAAGCCCAGATCTAGCCGAGTGGCTCAACCTAGTTTTCAAGGCACTGCTCTGCTGGTTTTTCTCATCTCCCTTCCCCTCACACATTACCACCAAACTAACCTCACACGTTCCCACTTCCATGCCTCTCCCTCCAATGCATCCACAGTGTCCTTTTCTAGTCCCCATCCAGCAAGATCAAACTCCTGTATCCCCTCTATATGAAGCTTTCCAGGATCTTCTCAAGGCACAGGGTCCTTGAGAAGGACTGTATCTGTATCATCTTACAAAGCCTAACTCCCTGCCCCTACTGGTACAGGTATGTGCAGACTCCCCTCGTCCCCTGGATCAGACCATCTATGAGCCCCTGTTGTGCAAAGCCTGCATCTCACTCATCATGGATTTTCCTCAGTGCCCGGGGCAGGGTCCCTCCTCTCTGCCTGCACTTTCATTACAGCATTCTCCACACTACCGTCCTGCTCGAACAATATCCCACTCATTCGCTCACAGACATCTACTAGGCACAAAGATCAAAAGGACAGGGTTCCTGCCCACAGCAGCTCACAATCTAGCAGGAAACAGACCCAGCCACAGCATCTCCAAGCTTTCCTCCTACCTCCCTTTCCATGTAGAAACCCAGGTGGGTAACACACCTGACACAGCAAGGTCCGCTTATCCGCCTCCACTGTCGGGGCTCATGGCCGATCGTGGCAGCCCCTTCCACTGGAGGTCAGCTTTGATTATCAAAAGTTCTTTCTCGTGTCTAGTTTGAAAAACTGAGAAGACCTAAGTAAATAGCAGAAGTTTTGTTTATTGCATCTACCAACTGTCATTCATGCAGGACTGTTCCTTTGTGTGTTTTATAATTTTTGGACTACAAACTAATTTTCAGTAGAACTTTACCTTTATGGCTTGATTTATGTCTTTCTACCAGGTTACCCGTGGGTACTACAAGTTTATGACTACTTTTAACGTGGGGAAGGGCCACAACCCCCAAAATGATATTAATTTGAACCCCTAAATCCACGAGAGAAGGCCACTGATTACATTTTTCTCCTAATCCAGAGCCCAGAACAAGCCAGAAAAGTTCCCCTGATGTCTACTTAAAACCACGTGCATATTTTGCCCCAGACCATTCTTTTGCTAATGGTAAAACCTTTCTTGGGTCCTGGCTTTTAGTGGGCTTCTTAGTGCTAACTCCCTACTGGGGATAGGCCCTAAGTCTCACCTCCTGTCCCTACCAACTCAAGCCCTTTTGTGACTGAGATTGGCCATCTCACCCACGCGCTTGCCTCACCCCAGAGGAAGAGCCTCGTTTCTCACCTACCACTCTGGAATTCAGTTCTCTCTTCCTTTTTGGCCCCTGGGGACTCCCCCTTACTTTCTTGCAAGTTCAGCTATGTACTTAAAGTGATGTTGGTTATATTTTAACAAGCATTTCTAGCTGTTTTGTAGCAGGACACTTTCCAGGTTATCTCGTCTGCTGTGCTGCAGATGTGAAAGTCAAATCAAAGGTTCTGCAAGGGCCACCTACCTAGACCCCTTCGCCCCGCCCAACCTGCCTTCTCTATCAGGCAATGGGGAAGGGCTCTGCCGTCCAGACTCCAGCTACATGTCTCACTACCTCCGTGACTTTGCACAAGTCACCAAACCTGCAAGTCTCCCTTTCCTCATCTATGAGATTGAAATGAACCATATCTTCTTTGTAGGTTTCTTGCGAGCATCAGAAGACATAACATACAGGAAAACACTGTCAAGTGTAGCAGTAGCCACAGATGTCAGTCATTGTCAGATCCTAGCAACCTGTCAAGCCCAGCTTAATGAGGCCTCATCTGTCTTCTGTAGCTGGAGATCTTTCCTTCCTCTGGTTTCTGGCTGCTCTCAAGCCAAACCTTGTAGACATTTTCAAAAGCTGCTCTGACCAGAGTTTCTTGTATCCAAGTCTGTCACCCTCACTAGGCTGCGATCCCCTCAATGGAGGAGACTCCGTTTGCTTCACGCCCGTGCCCCCAGTTCCCAGCCTGGGCTTGGTGCAGAGCAGGACATCAGTAAAGTCATGTGAACAATTGTAAATTATCCCTGGTCTGGAGTGCTCACAGTCTGGCAAGGGAGGCAGACAGTGACAACATGTGACAGCGGGATGTACCAAGACTGTGGGAGCCCAGCGAGGACCGAGTCCAGCCTGGTGGAGGGCAGCGGAGTACTGACAGTGATCAGGGAAGGCATCCTGAGGGAAGTAACACTAGAACAGAGACTTACAAGGTAAGTAGGAGCTGTCCAGGCAGAGCAGAGAAAGAGAAAGTGTTTTAATGTCCACACTACAGTGACAGAGAAGGGTTTACAGTTAGAGAGCACCGTGCGTGCAAAAGCTCAGAGCAGCCATAAGGCAGCCCGGGCACTTGGGGAACGTGAGTGGCTCAGTGTGCTTGAGGCACATGATGGACCTGGGGAGGTGACGGGGACTGCCACCAAGCTGTGGTATGGCCCACAGGAAGGCCCACACTGGCACCTTTGTCAGAGTGGGGCGAGGCCCAAGTAGGGGACCGTCACTCACCTTGATGGCCTCCATGACAGGCTCATACAGATCCGGGAAGCCCGGGAACCGGAACACCATGCAGTGGACCAGCTCTGACAGCTGCTCCAGGCAGCTGGTCCCCGAGTTCGAGTCCTCCTTGACCAGAGAGGCCACCATGCGGGGGATGTGAGGGAGCAGCTGTGGGAGCAGAGCTGGGTCAGGCTCAGCACCAACCCGCCCACCTGAGACACGGGGCTGTGGTCCCTGCTGACAGCACGCAGCACTCTCTGAGGTAGGGAGGCTTGCCCACCTAACCACTGTCCCCTGACCCAGATGGGGCTCTCAACTCTGCAGGCAGGTGACTCCTTTTCCCAGACATATGATCTAAGACACCCTGCCTCAGTTTCTTCATCTGCAAAATAGGATGACTACTCCTCTCCTCACAGCCAAAGGGAGGCCAGAGCCCACACCTCGGCTGTTTGGCCTCAGCCAAGTGACCTGCACCAAGAGCCCAGGGGCAGCAGGCAGGGCCCTTACCAGGTGGAAGGCTTCGTGGGAGTGCTGGAAGGTCAGGAGCATGTACTTGAGCACAGACAGGGCAGCTCCCCGGACAATGGGGTACAGCAGCTTAGAGAAAACCTAGAAGAGAGGCCCTGGTCAGGAGTCCCCAGGCCCGAGCTGCCGAGGCCAAGTGCAATCACAGGCCTGAGAGGGGGCTCAGAGACACCCGAGTTCAAACCCACGCAGAGGGATAAACACCGAGGTGCTCACAGACCCAGATGGACAGACAGATGGCAAGATGGACAGCAAGATAGATTTCTGAGGAATGCATGGACAGACCAAAAGTCAGACACACATACTTGGATGAGCAGTCAGGGAAACTAATGGGGAGAATCTGAGGCCCAGAGAGGG